CTTTACGTCCCTTCAGTATTTCCCTGTGCAGCTCTGCCTCCTCACCATCTCCTTCCCCAGCTGTGACCACCATGACTGTGAAATGAACACATCTGAACTGGTCTCCTGGAAAAGAAATATGAAATAAATAGGATATAGTCACTTCTCTGGTAAGAGACAGGCCACCAAGATGAGGAAGCCTTTTACAAAGTCACAGACACTTCTGAACAAAGTATACTGCGATGACAGAGACCAAATCAATGAATCCATCATTTCAAAGCCCAGGTCTACAGAAGCACTCTTAGACCTGCAGCATCTGGAAATATTACTGGAATTGGAGAATGGAATGATAAATGAATTAAGCAGAGACTCAGGGGAAGAGGACACCTATCAGATCTGGAACCTCATCACTCTCCTCTGGCTCTCAGACTTGAAGGAATGAGGTTGAAACAACGCAGCGCTGTAGAGCTGGCAAGACTCAAGGCAACCTCCCTTCCACTGACAGGCATCGGACTGTGCTTGGGTCCTACCTGCAAACCATCCAACTTTAGACAATGTTAACCCTGCCCACAGCCCTTGATACAGCCAAAGATGACAACTGGGACAGCAGCACTGAGGAGCTACTTCTAAGGCCCTGGAAATCAGCAAGCAGATGGAAATCAGTGCTATAAAACCATAACAGTTACAGAATGAGCTGAACTTTGGTGTAACCACAAGGGAGACTTCTCAAAGGACCCCACCACCAGTTCACTGGCTCACAAACACTGGTCTTGCCAAAGGTCTGCCACTTCCATGGGGATTTCTCTTCCTCATTCCTCCCTTTTTTGTCATTCCTCCCTTTTTTTTTTTGTCCTGAGCACCTTGCCCCTGCAGTCTTCATATAGTGCACACCCCTATTCCCTCTGAAGGATATCTGCTTGTTTCCTAGCTAACATACAGTTTGAGGCCATTTCCTCCAACTGCCTGCAGTGAAACAAACCCAGTGCCAGCCCTATTAAGATCAACTACGCTTCTCATTTACTCGAGCCGTCCCATCAGTTACCAGTGGTGACTTTGAAAGGAAAGGAGAGTTTTATACCCTGCTCAGCTCTCACTGCAGCAGGCACTTACAAATAACTGAAGCTTTGTTTTCAGAAAAAGCAGCCTGGCTTTCGAGGTGACAGGATGATCCATAAAGTTACAGAGAAACCAAAATATCTCCAGACCAGCCTGCTCAGTGGCAGTTTGCTGTATGGCCACAGGTCTGGTCTCTCCATGAAGCTGAATGTGTCTGGCA